TTTTTGAAAGGGGGGGGCACCCGCCATTTTTAAAACCCCGCTGGTTCGAACCCCGCTGCGGCTTTGCTCCCGATGCCCCTGGTCTGCTGGAGATGGTCCCCAGCAGACCAGGGGCACCAGGAGCAGCTTTTCTCGCCCCGGAGGTCGAGGTGGCTGACCGCTGCCTGTGAGCTTCGGGGCAAGAAAGCCCCGTTTGTAAGTGTGGATCCGACATAAGTCGGATCCGCGTAAGTCGGGGACTGCCTGTACAAATATTACACCAAACTGAAACAACAGAAGGCACAGCAGAGCCTGGGAATGTTACCCAGCTCTGAGCTCTGCCCCAATTTTGCTCCTAGCCTCACCCCCACACCCTGCCTTAGCCCCAGCCTTGTCCTCTTCTCTCCAGAGCCACAGTGCCACCCCCAGTCCAAGAAAGAGGGGCAGAGAGGGCAAGATTGGGAGGCGTGTGACCACTGACCTACATTGTTACTTCAGAAGGAAAAAGTATGCAATAATTTCTACATAGACTAAAAAATCCCAATCAATATTTCAACTTATATCCGCTACCTCATAGAAGGGGCACTCCAAGGTAACTGTTAAAAAGAGCTGGGTCAGCTGGGAGAGGACAAACTTGTCCAAACCTGGTGTTTGAGCTGAAACAAAAACAGAGTCAGACATTCAGTACAGATATGCGTTCAACAAGAATTCCCATGCAATTAATTGTACAAAGGACAGCTGTTTTTAAATAAACATACACAAAACTGCTTTATCCTGAATCATTAACAGAATACGTAAATTAAGGAATCTTTTCCTCCCACTCATTCAATGTGTGATTCAGTATTTTGATCTGTAAGTTGAGGATAACGTTTACTAATTTTCGAGTATCAAGTTAATGTTTATGAAACACTTTTAAAATATGAAGATGGTATTATTATTTAATCAGAAACAGCTGAACCAGGGAAGAAGCCTATCTTACTGCTCTCCTTTAGAAGTTTCGGTCTCTAAACAACATACATTTTAATGTGATCTTTATACAGTGATTTAAACAAAGATTTTCAAAGTAACTAATAATTTTGGATTCCTCAGTTTTTGGATCATGTGTTTAAAAGGGCCTGATTTTCAGAAACGTATGTGTGAACTTCCACCTGCTGAATATCAGGCCCCTTTAAGGTGTTTCGTGATGGACAATGAAAAATTGAGGCACCTAAATTACTCATCACTTTGAAGGACTGGTAGAGAAATCTAGTTTCTATTGAGACAGGAATAGTATCTCCAGTTCTTAAGGATATTATCATTTACAATTCAATATTAATACACGAGATACAGGTTGGAACTCCCAAAACTGTGGCTCTCTCGTCTGGCAATATCCGTGGTCTGGTAGGACAACAGATGTTCCTGGAACAGGGAGTTCTGGCTGGGAGCCCCTGTGGCAAGAGGGTTGGTGGGTTGGAGCCTAGCTGGGCTGGGTCCGGAGCTGGAGTCCCAATAGTGGGACCGGAGACATAACAGCTGCATCAGCCCCAGCAGTGGAGCCAGAGGGGCTGAGGATGTGGCAGATATGGTACCCAGCAGTGGGGCTGGCGATGTAGCAGTCGCGGCAGCGGGGCTGGGGAACCAGTGTTCCGTCTAAGGTGCACACAAAAAATTCTCTGCCACCCACCTGCTTCACAGAGCCGTGCAACTGCACTCATCTTCCTGCTGGATCTGGAAGGTGAGTGGCATGGCTGCTTCCACTGCTGGGACTGCATGGTGGACAGGAACAGGTATGGGTAAAATGGAAAAGTGAATCCAGTCACTTCAGGGTAGTTTCCTTTATTTTGTGGTTTGGTTTGAACTGCTCTGTGTGACTCTCTGGGTACGTCTACACTACAATGTTAATTCGACCTTAGTTCACATTAGTTAGTTCGAATTAGCTTAGTTCGAATTAACGGATATAGTAAAAAACTAGTTTGAATTAGCGTTTTGCTATTCGAACTAGCATGTCCACATTAAGTGGACCCTGAAACAGGCTTAAGGATGACCGGACGCAGTGCCGGCAGGGCATCAGAGGAGGACTTAGAGCGTGGAGATGCTGTCTCAGGCTAGCCGAGGGCTGTGCTTAAATGGTCCCGACCCCCACCCCGGACAGACAGTTCTCAGGGGTGCCCCGCTTGCAAAGCAGTCCTGGCTTGGATTGCCTGGACTACCCACACTGGGCACATCACAGCACTCGGCCATCAGACTGGCTGCACTTGCCGCAGGCTGCCATCTGGGGAGAGGGGGTAATTGGGGGGCTGCAGGAGAGCTTCCACCCCCAGAAGCCCGCAGAGCCAGCCCAGTCCTCCCCATCGGGGGCTCGTGCCCCATTCCTCCCGCTTACCCTTCCCTAGCCCCTCTTCTTGATGTACAAAATAAAGGACAATTGTGTTCAAAAATGGAATCTGTCTTTATTGATCAAAACTGGGGGAGACTGGGAAAAGGAGGTGGGAGAGGGGAAGAGAGAGGCTGGGAGAGGGGAGGACAACTAAAATGATCAGGGGTTGGGAACAGGTCCCATATGCAGAGAGGCTAAAGAGACTGGGACTTTTCAGCTTAGAAAAGAGGAGACGTAGGGGGGACAGGATAGAGGTCTCTAAAAGCAGGAGTTGGGTGGAGAGGGTGCATACAGAAAAGTTATTCATTAGTTCCCATAAAGAAGGACTAGAGGACACCAAAGGAAAGGAATGGGAGCAGGCTTCAAACTAGTAACAGAAAGTTGTTCTTCACAAAGCAAAGAGTCAACCTGTGGAACTCCTTGCTGCAGGAGGCTGTGAAGGCTACAACTAGAACAGAGTTTAAAGGGAAGTGAGATCAAGTCATGGAGGTTGGGTCCATGGAGTGCTATTAGCCAGGGGGTAGGAGTGGTGTCCCTGCCCAAGATTTGTGGAAGGCTGGAGAGGGATGGCACGAGACAAATGGCTTTGTCACTGTCTTCAGTCCATCTCCTCCAGGGTCCATAGGGCTGGCCGCTGTCGGCAGACAGGCTACTGGGCTAGATGGACCTTTGGTCTGACCCAGGACAGCCATTGTAAGCTCAGGGCTCAGGGTCGGGGGTCTCAGTGGACCACCTTGATTTTCATGCACACCTGCTCCTGGGTGGCCAGGCTGGCAGCTCTCCTGCCCTAGCCGGCCACTTTCCTGTGCCTAGTGCGGAGGTCGTGGACGAGGTCCACGATGTCCGCACTAGCTCAGGCAGGTGCCCGCCTCTTGTGGTCCCGGGCAAGCTCCCGGGAGCCGCCAGCCTGGTACTGGGAAGAGGGGGATGGCTGGGGGGCATTGGGTGGGTGGCTCGAGCCGTGCCAGGTGCAGGGTCTGCTGGCTGGGTGCTGGCAGGCTTGCACCTGGCACGGGCACCGTAGCCAGCCCATGCCCCTTTAAGGGGTCCGGGGCCGGGAGGGGGGCAGTAGAGTTTCCCTGGTGTTGGCCAGAGTGGCCACCAGGGCAAGCTGGGGAGGGCTAGCCTCCCACTAGTTCAAATTAAGGGTCTACACAGCCCTTAATTCAAACTAGTAAATTCGAACTAGGCTTAATCCTCGTGGAATGAGGATTACCTAGTTCGAACTAAGCGCTCCGTTAGTTCGAATTAAATTCGAACTAACGGAGCACTAGTGTAGCGCCTATGAAAGTTAGTTCGAACTAACGTCCGTTAGTTCGAACTAACTTTGTAGTGTAGACATACCCTCTGACTCCTCTCCCCATTTATTACCTTGCATTGTTCCCAGAGACTTTTCTGTTGTTTTTTTAATTTGTTTTCCTTAGTGCTTTGTAACATCTAGTAACCAAGTATGTTTTAGCAAGTTTATCTTTTGTTTTATACTAAAAAAATCACTTTTTTTTTTTAAGGTGATGATTTGATTCTCGAGTCGTGGTAGGTCTGTCTGTGTATATCTATATGCCTCTGACTGAGGGGTCAGCTACCTTAGACTGCAGCTTGTTTTTCTCTTTTCAAGCTCTTTTGGGGCAAAAGAGCTTGGGGTACTACAGAGGGTGATTTCAAGTGTCCACCCCTGGTTTTTAGGGATAAAAAAAACTACTTGGTGGTGGTAGCGATTCCCCAGAATCTGTAGATTATGATTCTGGGGGAAGTTTTTTGAAACCAGTGACTGTAGAGGCAAAGTTTTGAAGCTCTCTTGCAGGCCCTCACCTTTTGGACTCAGTGTGCCAGAGTAGAAAGATCCTTGACACATAAAAAGGGTAATCTGGTAGCAATCAAAACCTAACATTCTACCTGAACTGTAAAGTTGTCAAACCACACTACAATGAAGAAAGGGTTTAGAGGACTTTGTAATACCATGCATTTGTATAGCTGTATGTCTTTGTACTATATAAGCATGTGCTTAACTTCCCTTTTCAGTTTATTTGTAAAATATGTCAGCTGCATTTCACTTCACTACTAAACTTCTACACTGACTCTTCGTCTCCCTTTGAGCTTTTGGCAAGATTTTCTTCTTTAATTCCTTTTTTCCTATGTTTTAAGCAGAACATTAAAATTGTTCCTGAGTGTGATAGCTTGTCTACACCAAAACCACATTTAAGTCAGGGGACCTTTTTATAGTACAACTTTCCCTGACCTACATGCATCTGACGAAGTGGGTCTTTGCCCACGAAAGCTTAACTGAAGTGTAGGAGCATAGTCTATAAGGTGCCACAGGACTCCTCGTCGCTTTTGCAGATTCTGACTAACACGGCTACCCCTCTGATACTTTCCCTGACCTGGTGCTCATTTTCAAATGCATATCACAGCAAAAACATTAGTTTTACAAATATAGAGAAAGATTTCTTGGCAATTGTGTATCCTGTTTTTAGCCAAAGCCTGAAAAATAGCACAAGTTACTAAAAGCTGTAAATCGTATAACTGTGACAATGCAGCATCACCTTAATCTTCCTGATCCCCTTTTTTCAGTTAGCTCCAACAGCTGATACTTTGAAATACACAGGTGGCAAAGAGATGGAATAGGAGAAACTAGTAACGGACACACAGATGAAATGCATCAGACAGACTTAGTGACTTACCTTGCAGTTGTTGAAGAAAATAGGAGTTAAATATTTTTGCCAGAAAATTGACTGGATAGCGCTCAATAAGGGTGCATGAATGTAGCAGATTCAGTAGGATGTGAGGCCGAAACTGAGTAAAGCGAGCATTTAGTATTCTTTCAAGTTTTCTGAAGAGAGGGGAAGTAGTTGGTGGTAGGTAATTGAGTGTCCCAAACGGAACAATAGTCTCAGCAATCTGTCCAGTTGTGTATTTGTCAGCATTATAAACAAAGCTTTCTGCCACTGCATCAAAGATGGGTTTAGAACAGAGCAGTTTTCTGCAGCAGTATAGCATGACTTTGCTGACTACTTCAGGGTGCATGGTGAAGGAGGATTTGGGAACATGCCTTTCCAGTGCTTCTGTGAAGAATTGATCACGGTGTCCAAAATGTATAAAAGCTCCCAGCACATTTACTAGCTCCTCATCTGTGAATTGAGGGACATGCCTCACTGAATACTTACACAGTCTTATTACTAAAGGGACTGCCTGAGTTTGGTCAAGAACAACCAGAGCATTCAGTATTCTACTTATCAATTTAGGATTAAGTTGGGGAGCAAAGGTTAAAGTGATGTTGTTCATATGGTTTAACAAGTCTTGGTATTGCCGTTTTTCTGTAATACTCATCTGCAGCATTCCATAAACCATTGCCATTTCCTCAGCAGTCCATTCTTCAAGCTTTTTTCCTCTTAATTGGGTCACAATTTGTTCCAGCATTGCACAACCTGGGCCTTCCAAATCAAGCAAGCTTTCTCCAAGAATACGCAGGTTTTTAATGGTCAATTGTTCTTTATCAAGCCGTTCCTGACTCTCTGATACCAAACGTACAATCAGAGTACTCCAGGGATCTACACGCAACTTTATCAAAGCCTGCAATGCCATCAGGAGACCAGTGTCTGACAGCTTTTGTGATTCATGTTCAAACTGAAAGCATAATGTCCTGAAGACTTCATTCTCCATTACCTCTTCAGGATTTTTCAATCCACTGTCATCCACTTCAACTTCACAGATCCTTTGCAAAGCTGCTGCTGCCATTGTGTCAGACATAACTTCCAAAGAACTCAGAAATGTAAAAATCTCTTTGGCTGAATTGCAGCTGTTCAGCTCCATGAAAAATTTTTGTTCGTCTCTCCATTTGCCACAAGATTTAGAACTGCTCCCAGCATCTCCGTGAAGATGCACGGATCCAATAATGGAGTTAGGCTGGTTCCAGAGTTCTGCATGGTAGTTTCTACTAAATACATATTGAAGCCTAAATCTTGAAAGTACAGTGCCAAAGACTGAGGAACCATAGCACCATGACCGTAGCTGTCTTCCTTGCTTACAAAGGTGATTCAAGGTTTTTCTCAGTGATCTGCATGTGCGTACACTAGAAGAATAAAACTGGAAACTTTGTAAGTTAATTAAAGCCATATCAGGCCAAGTGTTTCCCTGGAAGTTACCTACAGGAGGAAAAAAAGAAAGGATCATTTTATACAAAATGATAATGTTACAGAAATGCAGAAATTACCTTACCACATTAGACCGCTAACCCATCTAGGGCTTATCTAAACTATACGGAACAGTGGAAAGAGGATATGCAAATTGTGGGAATTTGCATATCTTCTTCGGATCGCACTTTTGAAAGTGAAAGTAGTTAAGACGCGGCTTTTTTGGTGAACCCCGCCCCCCTTGTCGAAAAGCCACGTAAACCTCATTTTTTGAGGAAGAGTGACTTTTTGACAAACGGGGAAGGGGCTCACTGAAAAAGCCATGTCTAAACTACTTTCATTTTTGAAAGCTCTGCTTTCAAAAGTGAGCTTGGAAGAGGAAGTGAGTTCCTCTTTCAACTGTTCCATGTAGTCTAGATAAGGTAGCCTAGATAAGCCCCTAGTCCAGATGCTTCAAGCAAGAGAAGGAAGAAATGCCACAGAGGTCAATTATTGAACAACCTGAGTACAAGGGTTTCTGTTTCCCCAAAAATTTTCCTCCATCAAAATCACACCAAAGTATTTTGTGTCTGCTTTTTTCCCCAGCTTGATTACTTTCCTCATTTGACATGTGCATAGTCAACTAGATCCCTGTCCTTTATTAAGGCTGTTAAAAAACATGCTTATACCCAGGGCTCGCCAAACCACGGCAAGCCCCGCTCACCAGCCGCGCTGTCCGGCGATCTGCGCATGCGCAGATTGCCCGAACCCGGCTCTTCTGGGTTACAATCTACTCGCCATAGGCGAGTAGATTGTATAATTTGTCGATCCCTGCTTATACCCATGCATTTGCAAGAACACAGCTTTGGTTTATCAACTCAAGGGTAAAAAGACTTGCACATATAGCAAAAGATTAAAAGAAAAAAAAAGTTGTGATCCCATTCCTGAAGATGCTTACCGATCTACTTTAAGTTTATGAATTATTATATTGATTTCAATGCTTAGAGAGAAGCATTTGTGTAAACATCTCCAGGATCATGGTTTCTCAATTAGAGGCCCTAAGAATCGGCATGGGACTCAGGAGAAAGTGTAATGCTCTACCTGAGACCACTTTTAGCACTTGGTAAAGTTGACTTGATTTTGAATTTAGTGTTCATTTAAAAGAGTAATTCTTAAACTATGTAATAGTCCTGTTCTTGACAAGTGTATTTTTTTTATCTGCACAGTTATAAATTGTGTTTACAATCCATCTTCAAGTAGATGAAGAGGACACTGGCTCTGCTCTGAGTTAATTAAACTACTACACAATCAAAAGAAAGAAGTTTCAGAAAGTATTATTGCTCCACCGCAATGTTAGTCAAAAATCTACTCGGTATGCACATTAACGAAAAAAAAAAAAAAAGAATGGTATGTGATTCACATTTCTCCAAACTTCTGCAGACTTGTCTGCCTGTCATTCTGTCCTTAGATCATAAGTTTCTTAGAAAAGAGACCATTCCTTTTTTCCCCTCCTGCCTGGAAAGTACCTAAGCCTATTGCAGGTACCTCTATAAAAAACATCCAAAAATAATAATCTACTATTTATTTTGAAGTTTGTTTATAAAAAATAAAGTCATACTTTGTGATTAACAAATTTTGCATAAACAATCCTGCCACTTAAATTTGCTGAATGCACTACTTTTAACACCAGAATATGCTGGGTGAAAGGTTTAAATAATTATTTTTGTTTATCATTGGAAAAAAGTTATGACTATTATTAAGAGTTCATAAAAATATTTGCTAGCAAAATTAAAATTGAGTCGCTTATTCAACCGTCATTTTAGCTCAAAGAAAATATTTATTGTTACAATCACAAAATAATTCAAATTAGTTACAGAAAGAGTAATGGAAGCTTTACTTAATAGGAGTTACCTTTTTCGGCATTCATATTTATTTTGTTATTTACTTTAAGAATGTATTCACATATTACCTACTAATATAAATATTATAAAGAATCACAATTGATTGCTTGATATCATTGTCTGATTTTTATGCACCAGAGATTTATTTTGATATTTTTTATTTTGATGTATTTCTATATTTATTTCAACCAACACCAATTAATTTTCTTCACTAATTAAGCGTTTCTGATTCAAATGTACTCTGTATGTTAATTATTCAATAAAATGAATGAAGTTGAAATACTACAAATTTAAAACTGTTCTTTTACTTCCCTTTTGTAAGAACATAATAAAAAAATCTATTACATACATTTATTTTCTAGAACTTTCCTATAGGTGGCATCTAAGCAAAATGACTTTGCCCAGTCAACAACGGGCCTCACCTGATAGTACAAATATATTACACTGTGGGGCACTTCAAGCAGGACTTAGAATCAGTCTCATTTCTTCCTATTTTATAACATTAGTCTTAACACTTTTGAAAGAGAGTCCAATTGTTTAATCTGGACCACACATAGCCTTGCGTCTGAATGGGTCTCCCATATAGGACACATTATATCTAAATTAAAGCTATATAGAGTTACACTCTAGTAGTGCATTATAATCTAATGAAGGACACAAAAACCCTGATCCACTACTATACCTGTCCTATATTTGTTTACACTTGTGTAATGGAAAATATTCCCCTCTTCTAATTTGGCAGCATTTTACATTCATTTTGGAGAGGGGTAAGTAAATACAGGCAGTCCCTGACTTTACGTGGATCCGACTTATGTTGGATCCGCACTTATGAACGGGGCTTTTCTCGCCCCGGAGCTCACGGGCGGCGGGTCACCACCCGTGTCCTCCGGGGAGAAGAGGAACTGAAAGCTCATGATACCATCTACAAAGTGCTACCAGACCAGTTTTTGTTTTTTAAGTTTATCTTGTACAGACTAACTGCTACCTGCTGGAGCTTGTATACTGAATGTTGATGGTCCTAGCTCTTACCATTTAGAAGGAGTTCTTGACCAGATAGACAAACTCAAATATATAGTAGATGGAGTCTGGACCTTGGGAGCAGAGCTAAGCATCTCACATAGCAAATGCCAGTTGGCAAATAGTTCTCCTGCAAAAGCTGGCACTCAGTCACTGCTGGGAGAAGTTCTGTAACATGTCATAGGAGTAGCTGTGGTAATAATTCTCATTTACTGTTGTCCTTTTCCTTTTGTAGTTACAGGCAGTCCCCGGGTAGGTTTGTTCTTAAGTTGAATCTGTATGTAAGTCAGAACTGGCGTCAGCCGCTGCTGAAACTGATCAGTTTCAACCGCGGCTGAATCTGGATGCCAGTTCTGACTTACATACAGATTCAACTTAAGAACAAACCTACCCGGGGACTGCCTGTAACTACAAAAGGAAAAGGACAACAGTAAATGAGAATTATTACCACAGCTACTCCTATGACATGTTACAGAACTTCTCCCAGCAGTGACTGAGTGCCAGCTTTTGCAGGAGAACTATTTGCCAACTGGCATTTGCTATGTGAGATGCTTAGCTCTGCTCCCAAGGTCCAGACTCCATCTACTATATATTTGAGTTTGTCTATCTGGTCAAGAACTCCTTCTAAATGGTAAGAGCTAGGACCATCAACATTCAGTATACAAGCTCCAGCAGGTAGCAGTTAGTCTGTACAAGATAAACTTAAAAAACAAAAACTGGTCTGGTAGCACTTTGTAGATGGTATCATGAGCTTTCAGTTCCTCTTATAACTTAAAGCAAGATAAGGGTTTGGTAGTGCCAGGTATGTCTGGAGTGGGTCTGTTGCTCCTAAAACAGAAAGGGAGGGCTCTGCTATATAATGATCACATGGAGGCAGCAAGGGATATGGGATGGAAAGCAGGGACAGTTATACTATGTAATGACTACAGGGGGGGGGGGCAAGCAAGGGGCCAGAGATAAGGACGGAGACAGCTATAACCCTATTTGAGCAGTAAGGAGGCCAGGAGTGGAGAAAGAGACTACTATCTACTACAGTGGGTATGGCTAAGTTTCCCCACAATCTCATAGGCTGTGTCTAGACTGCATCCCTTTTCCGTAAAAGGGATGCAAATTAGACACATCACAATTGCAAATGAAGCGGGGAATTAAATCCCCCCCACTTCATTTGCATAAACATGGCTGCCGCTTTTTTCCAGCTCAGCGCTTTGCCGGAAAAAAGCACCAGTCTAGACGCAGATCTTTCGGAAAATAAAGCCTTTTCTGAAAGATCCCTTATTCCTTAGGGTTCCTTAAGGGATCTTTCGGAAAAGGCTTTATTTTCCAAAAGATCCGCAACTGTGATGTGTCTAATTTGCATCCCTTTTATGGAAAAGGGATGCAGTCTAGACACAGCCATAAAGTTTGTTTACAGCCACCAGTCCTGGCTCTCAGTATTCTGTGCTGTTAGTTAGCTCTAATTTACCCCTAGAGATCTTCTACGGGCCCTGTAAGGAGTGGAAATGCTCGAAATGCTGCTAGACAATATTGACTTCCAATGGTTTGGCAAATTCTCTGGTTCAGCACTGGTCAGGCCTTGAGGGTGCCAAACTAGAGAGATTAAACCGCTACACAGTTGAGAGAGTTTCCCTGTTCACATGTATTTTGTGTCTGTTCTCCCAGGGGGGGCATGTACACCCCTACCCCAGCTATACCCACTAGGGAAGGCAGAGGTGGTCCTGTTACCTTGGGGGAACCTGCACACTGGACCCCTCATCCCCAGCCCCACCCCAGAGCAATGACTTGAGGGGCTGAGAAATGCCGGGTCAATCTTCCAGCCCTTAAAGGGGTAGAAGGCTGAGAAGCCCGTTTGCGCATGTTCAGGTTTTAAAACTCCAGCGCCCGCTGTTGAGCCCTGAGCGATTCCGCCTGAGGTGCGGCCCCTCACTCGCCTCTCCCGAAAGAGCCCCGGAAACCTGG